GAGAGAGAGAGAGAGAGAGAGAGAGAGAGAGAGAGAGAGAGAGAGAGAGAGAGATGAACACATGTATATGGAATACAATGCGAGTGATCGCATTGCATTCATGACACTACGCGACAAAAAGGCCGCGCCTACCCTTCTGCCTCTTGCTCCGATAGGCATCCCAGCCATCAACATCGAATAGATATAGCAGACTCAGCTGCCTCCCCCTTTACCACACCACTCCATCTCGTCCCGGGACCAGCATCACTGTCCGATTCCCCACAGGAAAATGTACGTCACCCCCATGTTCCCGTCTTGGTATCGAGTACCATACAGTCCCGGTTCCGCCAGTCCCAGCTCCCCCAGTCCCAGTTCCCCCAGTCTATCACCCAACTGCGACTCCATGGGTGGGGTGCTGTCCAGGATCCACTCCACCCACCACGTGTTCACATCAGCGGTGATATGCAATTTTTTGTTCCCGTTCCGTCTTCCAACTGCATGTTCCGCTGATTTTCCAACGATTGAATTGACGATCGCTATCCATGTTGTGCTTTGATGATATGTTGATTTCCGCTTAAGCTTTATTGGCTACTGGACGATGGCAGTTCATCACATCACTACTGCACGTCTCGCCCATATGTCCCTTCCCCCAGTCATACATCTCTTCCACGTGTTCCCATCCGCGGTACTGCACTGCGTGGTACGTTTGATGCGTCCATCGGTTCTCAGGGCGAGATTGCACTGGCGAAGAGGATTGTAGTAAGTGTCTGAATGTGGACGTGGTTGTGGACAGGTGCCAAAATTTGTGATTGATCTCCTGTTCTGCACCTCTGCGTGGAATACGTCCAGATTCAGACACTTCTTCCAATCCTCTTTGCCAGTGGGATCTGGCCCTCAGCCGCATAATATCCGACGTTGTTGCCTCTGTGGTTGCCGCGAGTACATTCTGGCGGGAAGATCGGTGCGGCGGTTGTGGTGAGTACATTCTGGCGGGAAGATCGGTGGCGGGAAGATCGGTGTCTCAAGCAAGGAGGAAGTGCTCATACAACTTCTCTTCTAGAACTTTGTGGATTACAAACGAATCCGCACGCGGACCCGTTGTCCTCGACCACAGCAGAGTACGTAGATGGCTATTTTGGGTTGAGCAAGGGGTCTGGACATTTCAACACCCCGAGGCAGACTAACAAGTGGAATGAAGGCAGTGCAATAACAAGCAATCAGGGGGCAGAACTTTCTTGACCCGGTTAAGCAGGGGGGCGCAGCGCTACCGAGAGCGCTGCGCCCCGGCAGCACCAACCACCAATCAAGGCCACCGCCATGGAGAGGAGCCGCGCGCGCCGGAAAATCGCACGCAGTAAGGAAAATTGCGCGTGCGCGCCCGGCGATTGCGCGCCATTGGGCGCACGCCCTGATCTGAAAATTGGACCACCGGAGGTCCATGTTGAGGAGCTGAGATGGTCCAAATTTCAGACCAAACGGTCCAACAGATCACGAGATATCGAGGATCTTGCGCCAAAGCTTCATTGACAAATTCAGGACGAAGGGGTGGTGCGTGGAGGATTTTCATTGTTCATGGGAGGAGCAGCGGTGTGATGGAGTAGGTGGGTGACAGAGGAGTGGCAGGGCAACGAGGGAGTGATTGGAAAGGACGCACGGTTAGAGCGAGGTAACGGGAGCGACTGGTACACGTCAAGGAATGGTACATGATTTTCCTCTTCTTCAACAGCGTGGTGGGTGGTAGTATTGCGGATTGAACCCCCTGTGCTGACTTGTCAACAAGTTTGATGAGGGGTGACACACTGTTTTTGATTTCCGTGAGAAATTGAGAATGACCGTTAATGTTCTTGGTGTAGCCTTAGAGCTAGCAGTGGGAGGCGGGGAATCCTTCCTTCCCCAAGGACGTTGGGGTAGGGTTCGCAGGGTGTGTGGTAAGTAGGGGGCTGTTGAAGAAGTACGGAGGGGAGTGTTGTTTGAGTGTTGCTTTTGTCGACGTGCGATTGGCTTGCTTCTCCTCTCTGCAGTAATGATCTATTCCTGATTCTATCCTTTGCGTGGTGAAATTCCTGATTCTATAACTTGTGTGTAAATTTTTCAAAACCGTAGGCAGTTTTTCTTTTCAAGACTTTTGACTCCTACTTTGCTTGTATCTTCGCACCTTCATCGTAAAAATATCTTCGGAATTTCGGTTTCTTAATCATTACTATCTCATTTCATTTTCTGAGCCATTTTTGAATCTGATGGTTCCAAGAGTAGTCTCTCGATACGACTTGCTAATCTACAACCGGGATTGATTTCTCAAGGTGATGTTCGCAACACTTCTCACTAATACATCTGTCAAAACATTTCCTTGTTAATGGTTTGACCAAAGATTCTCACACCAAAGTTTGAGAGTCGATTTCGTAAATCCTTTTTGGATATCTAAATCTATATTCATACGTTTTTGTCTAAGTTTGACCGTCGACTGAATTTCTCTGATTTGTATGTCTGCTGTGTAGGTTAATTTATGATTTATAATTCTACAGTGATCGTACGATCTTGATTTTTTCCTGATTTCGAGATTCTATTTAGAATAATTTTCTGAATGTTCGATTTTGACTTTCTTGTTTCTGTGTAATAATCTGGAGAGATGTTATGTTCTTAAAACTTCGGTTAAAAATGAGCGAGAGAAGGGGTTACCGTGTTAGGGTTGTCCTCGGAGGACTTTTCCAACATGGAGAAGGTTGGAAGAGGGGTTGGGGGATCGTCGTTCTGCAAGGACAGGCTTTGGGTGGGAACTGCTTGTTAGAATGAGGGCAATGTTATTCTCTTCACAGCGGAGAGGTGTTGTCTTCTCCTTTCCCCTCTGTGTTGTGGAGAGAACGGGAGGGTAGCTCCAAAGCTTGCCCCGGCATCTCAATCGTTTTGTAATAATCTGTATAGATTTCATGTTTCAACTTCGGTTCAAAATGAGCATGCAGGGGAGTAGAGGATTTTAAATTTTTGCTTGGTAATGGGAGGTGGTTTTCAGGTTTGTCCTTAGGGGACCGTCCCATATGGAGAGGGTAGGGATGGAGGTTGGGGGAACCACTATTCTGCGGGGACTGGCTTTTGGTGGGAACTGCTCGTTCTTGAGGGAGTGGTGGTTCGCTAGGGGGCTTGTCCTGAGCTGGGGTCAATAAGGGGAACGGGTCGCCCTTTGACGGGGGCAGCTTTTGGACAAGAGGGAAGTTTTTTTTTGATTAGAAGGTAGGGCAAATTTGTTTCTCTGCACGATGGAGAGGTGCTGCCCTCTCCTTTCCCCTCTTCGTCGTGGAGAGAAGGGGTCACTGTGGAGGGATGAGGCGGTTTTACGATTGCCCTTGGGAGACTTTTCCAACATGGAGAAGGTTAGAAGAGGGGTTGGGGGACCGTTGTTCTGCAGGAACAGGCTTTTGGTGGGAACTGCTTGTTCTTTAGGGAGCGGCGGTTTGTTAGGGGGCTTGTCCTGAGTTGGGGTCATTGAGGAGAAGGGGGCTCCTCTCGACGGGGGCAGCTCAAGGACAGGAGGGGAGGAATTTTGGAAAGATCAATGGCAATGCTAATCCTCTTCACAGCGGAGAGGTGTTGTCTTCTCCTTTCCCCTCTCTGTTGTGGAGAGAACGAGAGGGTAATGCTAAAGTCTTTCTTCTACTCCTTTTAGAAGTCGTCAGAAGCCGTTGGGGGGTCTCTGAGTTGTTTTTTGAAATTTTGCCTATTTCTGAAGTTTTCTACGTAATTTTCTGAGTAATGGGACGCTGGGCCCGGTTCCCAGTTAGTGCCAATTTATGAGGATATGGTTGTATCTATGGGACGCTGGACCCGGTTTCCAGCAGGTGCTGCTCCCCACCAATAGATGGAGCTCTTTTCCAAAAAAAAAAAAAAAAGCGATCAAGCGGCAAGAGTTTTAAATAAAAGGGGTTTAAGGCAACACAGGGTCAGAGGCAAGGGTGCTGAGCAGGGGCAAGGGGTTTAAGGAAAAGGGGATTAAGGTCTGACAAGGCTGGAGGTATGGACGCTGGGCTCGTGAGATGCAGTCAGTGAACACTACCATCTTCACCCGAATAGAACGCCCGGTCATTATAGCTCTATCTGGACTGGACAGTGCAGCAAATACGGCTATAATGACCGGGCGCTCTATTCGGGTGAAGACGGTAGGGGGAAGGGTCCAAAGGACAAAGGGTTCAGTTCAGGGTAACACAGGGTCAGAGGCATAGGTGAGGGACGCTGGACCCAATCCCGATTTCCAGCAGGTGTTGCTCCCCACCAATAGATGGAGCGGCCCTGGAGGTGCCTGGTCTCAAGCTAGGTCCATGTACAGCCAGGGGGTCCAGCGTTTGTAACCCTCAGGAACAGCAAATTTTGACGAGTTTTTGGCCAAAAAACTCAGTTTCAATTTCGTTCAAAAAATAAAAAATGTCCATTTTGACGAAATGGTTGTTTGGCAATTGTTAGTTTTTTTTTTCGCTTAGCAAAATGACTTAAAATTTTATAGGCATGTACCTCATATCATAGAGAACTCACAAAAAAAAATTCAGAAAAAAACTACTTATTTTTAGGCCCCGAAACAGTTTTTGGCGGGGGCCGAACGCCGTCGGGTTKGGACCCCGAACGCCCGTACGTACGGAGGTCGGACCGGTGATCTCCGCACGTACGGGCTGGTGACCCTGTATATATATACATATTTTATATATATATATATATATATATATATATATCGTATCGTCACAAATAGAACTGCCCGGTAAACCGTAGGCAGAGAGAGAGAAGAGGACAACAAACGAGGGGCTGTGACAAACTGTTATATATATATATATATATCGTCATATATATATATATCGTCAAATAGAACTGCCCGGTAAACCGTAGGCAGAGAGGGAGAAGAGGACAACAAACGAGGGGCTGTGACAAACTGTTACGTCGGAGTTTCACCGACTCATCAGGAGGCTATATATATTTGCGATTCGCGACTAAGACTTCAAAAGAAAAAAAGAATAAAAGACTTCAACTCTCTTGTTGGAGTCAAAAGGACTTTTATTTCAGACCTGAAGACAACTTACTTTTCGTCCCTGAAGATGAATTTAAAATTGTCATGACGATATGTCTGGTAAAAGTTGATAAGTGACAAATTGTGACAATCCATTTTTTTTTTCTTTTTTTTTTCCCTTACAGGCTCACCACACAGGCTGTCCAAGACCAGGTTTTCGACAATTTTGCATCGCCACACAGACTTTCGAAGAATTGCGGCTCAAAAAAACATTTGACAGGTGTCAGAATGGTACGCTCGACAGCCACCCTCCCCCATTCGTTTCCTCCCGCCTGCCTGCAGCAGACAGAAATTATTCGAAAGTCCCCCACCCACCTGCCTTTCGAGAATTGCGTTCAAAATTGCATTGTCAGGGTCAGGCACTGTTCCGTGACGGCCGTGCCCTGTGGAAAGGCAGGCAGAGTCCATTTGGCCGTGACCAAAAAAAACCTTGCGCCTCAACAGCCTGTGGCGAAGGAGAGGGGGGGGAAACTGTCGACCGCCGACTTTCATTTTTTTTTCCGACAGCTGTCAGCCTGTGTGGCGAGCATCTTAAAGAAAACATAAGCTGGAGGAACTCCTACTGCCTGCCGGGATAAGATCCCCGGCCCGCAGTAGGGCTCGCTGTGTTGATGGCTCCGGTCTTATTTGTGGGGAGGAGCACGTGCTGGGAACCGGGCCCAGCGTCCCGGTCTATACAGTGAGTTTGGACTCTGGAGACATACAGAGGCCAACAACAAATGCTTGGGGCTATAGACCCAGCCTGCCATAAGACGCCATACAGCACCCCTGACGACAACCCCGGTACTGCCTGCCTGGCATATAATTTCCGCTAGCTACATCCCGTACTCCGTCTTGCTTGTTTTTCCTCCTACCTGCCGTGGAAAAGAATAGAGTATAAACATTTCTAGTCGGATGAATCTGGGTGCTCTTTTAGTGGGCCGTACATTTCCTTAAATTGTGGCTTGTTATCGGGGCCACAACTTTAGGAAGTACCTTCAAAATTCAAGCATTGTTTCACATTGAAGTCTCCGGAAACAAGTCGATCGGACCTCATTAAGATCAATCTTCGCCCATAGTTTCTGCCTTCACAGAAATTATCCCAAACATTATAGCTTGCACCCGGTTTTCCGCCTGCGAAAATGGGCACCATGCCAAAAGGGAAACACCAAAAAAACCCAACTCAGCTTTACGCAAAATAGCTCAAGTGAGATTAACCAATCAAAATGAGGTTATTGCATACATTCCGGGAGAAGGCCGTAAAAGTTTGCAAGAGCACTCTATTGTTATCGTTCGAGGAGGTAGAGTCAAAGATTTTCCTGGTGTAAAATACAAAAAAAAAAAAAAATGCAACACACAACACAATCACGCAGATCAAACTCTCAGACAAGGAAGACACGTGTGCCGGAAGGCTTTTTTTTTTTTTTTTCAAAATTCAATTTCCATTAATCATTCATCAACTCGAGGGCGGGGTCCTCACATTACTCCCGGTCGGTAGAACCACACGTACTGGAAGCATCATCCAGCTTAGCGTACAGGCTTAAAACCTGCAGGTCTTTCACTACAGACCCCGCAGCTCAGAGGCTGCCCCTAGCGTATCTTCTTCTTCTTCTTCTTCTTCTTCTTCTTCTTCTTTCTTTTTTCCTTTTTTTTGGAAAAAAAACAGTGTCTTTGCTAGCATATCACTACCCAACAACCTAATGACATATCACTACCCAACAACCTAATGACAGAAGGCTTAGGGCCTCGCCACACCACTCTCCAAATGTGAAAAAGACAAAAAATTGGCGAGCGCATCTGGCCATGTTGTAGCAGGAAGTTCATTCTCATTTTGCACATTTCGAGAGTGGTGTGGCGACACCCTTATACTGCTGGGTAAGACGCCCTTATACTGCTGGGTAAGACGAAAAGAAAAAGAGGAAAGGAAAAAACAATTAAAAAAAATCCAGATCGCAGTTCCAGCTGGCTTAGATCAGTTTGTTTGGTGCGCTCATGGTGGAATCAGACGAGCGAAAACAACTCGCGAAAATAACTGTGAAGTCTGAACTTACCTGGGGGCGGTCATTTCAAAGATGATGGGTCTCGCTGCACTACTCTCCACTCCCTCTCCGAATTCGGAGAGTTTTTCATCGCTGCACTAACTATCCTATTCCACCATAAAAAAAAACCTCACTGCAGATAGCTGTCACAAACCTCCTTTGAAAAGCACTCTCCGCTGGTGGAGAGTGCCCAGCCAGCCTGCAACACTGGTTTTTCGGATGGACCTCCGTCGGACTCTCCAAAATGCTCCCAATTTGGAGAGTGTGTGCCTCGAGTCTGGGCGGACAAATGCAAATCCCGCTGTGTCCTCTTCTAGCGCGGTCACGGTGTCTGCTAGTGCACTCACAACTTGGCGTCTCGGAAAGCAGATAGTTAGTGCAGCGGTGAACCCAAATTCACGAATTCGGAGAGCTTTTCAGCTCTCCGCCAGCTCTCCGGTTTCTCGGAGAGTGGAGAGTAGTGCAGCGAGACCGGATATCTCAAGGCTGTCGCCCTTACGGAAGCAGAAATAGTAAATACCATACTTGCAAGCAGACGGACCGGATGAGCGTCCGGTCCGGTCCGCTTTGCCACGTGCGGCACCCTCCCCCCGGACCAGACGGGGGCGTTTTTTTTTTTTTTTTGGGGGGGGTGGGGCGTAACTGGTCGTCGGGCGCACATTCGTGCGCCGCACGGGTCCGGTCCGGCGGTCTGCCGCACGTGCGGAACCGCCTGGACGGCGTCCGCTTGCAAGTATGGTAAATACAGATCTCAGAAGTTTTTGCAAATGGAGTGTCAGGGCACTGGGCCTCGCTGCACCGCTCTCCAGATGCACAAAAGACAAAAAATATGGTGGTGTATCTTTCGACATTCTAGCGGAAGATTCGTTCCCATTTTGCATATTTGGAGAGTAGTGCAGCCAGGCCCAATATACTGCGTACTGAGCAGTGCTTAGCCAAATTCCCTTCCCTGCTTCTGGCCGTTGATCGCCATATAGGGCCTCGCTGCACTACTCTCCACATGCATAAAATATAAAAAAGATGGCAATGTATTCGTCCATGTTCTGGCAGATGATTCAGACTCGTTGTGCACATTCGGAGAGTAGTGCAGCGAGGCCCATAATCTATGGTCAGAAAGGAGCAGAAGCGGGGAATCTGGATAAGCTGAACCTCAGCCGAAAACGGACAAACTTGCGGCCATAGAAAACTGGCTAAAATACCAACTGCCCTGCCGTCTTCACCCGAATTGAACGCCCGGCAATTATCGCTGCATCTGGACTGAAAGTTGTGCCAAATGCATCTATAATGACCGGGCGTTCTATTCGGGTGAAGGTTGGTACACCCACGACCTGTTGAAATATCACACCCAAGTTTGAATCCAGCTGTGATCGGATAAGTGAGTGTAACTGTGAATTAACCTGGGACCGGTCAATCTAAAGATGATATCTAAAGGCCGAGGCGGCGTGGCCCTTTTAAAGGGCCACCACTACCTCCGAGCGTCTTTTTGCCGAGGTGGAGTGGTGTGGCGTGCCAATTGGTGCGGAAGCGCCATTACGGCGTTTTTTTATTTCTTTTGGCTGGCACCGCCAGCCTTTGCGGTCCAGTAGCCCCGAGGCCCCGAAGATTTTGGAGGAGGCTCAACTTCAACTTCCCGTTTGCCTCCAACGGTCCTTCGGATGTTGAAATGCGGAGGACAGAGAGGTCATCGACTGAGGGGACACGGGAATTGAAATCTGGTTGGCCCAACGGGTCACAGGTCTGCGTCATCGTACTGGGAATGCTGTCGGCTGTGTGGGATTGTGGAACCTGGCTCGCCGGGGGGGTGATAGGTCTGCACAATGGAGCTACTAGGAATGCCGTTGGCTGTTCATCAGCCTATGTCAGTCGGATGGAAATACTTGCTCTTCCCTTTGGAGAACAGAAGAATTAATGCACCTCCTGAAGAGCTGACGACTTGGCATGTCAGCGAGATGCGTAGAGAGATGACGCGGTGTTCTGGCGCAGTGTACGAAAGCGGTGTTCTTGCTTGCGTCGACAGGATCTTTGTATATCTGGTTGGCCATGGAGAAACTTTTGGATGGTAATGTGATCTGGTGATGATGATGATGATGATTATGATTATGATGTGAGTTTTCTCTCATTGCCTCCTGCATACTCCCTGTTCCCACGCTATCGGTCGCGACCGACTCTGAAAAAATGGCTTGTAGTCTGTCTAAGCTTTTATAATAAGTTTAGAGTAGTTTATACTACTTTATAGTACTTTATATTAGTTTATAAATTATAATATGATAAAATTTAATCACGTCAACTTTGATGACTGCCCCCACCTTCTTCCGCCAAGTTCTTCGCGAAAGAGTCCGCAGCCGTGTGCGTGAGGTATGGAGTTGCGTAGATGGAGTTATAATGAGCAGGTGTTGTGTTCGGGGCAAGAAGGCAGAAGGAAAATGTGGAATTTGTTTGTTAAGGAGTGTCAGTGGCTTGTCTGCCGTGACGCTGTTAGGTTCCAGACTACTTAAGTTACCCAAACACAAGCCCCGGTCATTGTGGTTGTGTATTTACTGCAATTTCAGACCAGATACAGGTACAATGAATGACTGGACATTGTGTCTTCCAGCACAAGGTCAAGGCCTCTCTACCTCGTCTGCTATACTATCTAATCAGTCAGGACTCAGGAATACAGAGTGGGCATTCACAACTTTGAGCGCCAGAACCCTTGGAAACCTTTGCGGGTGGGTGCACCCTAAGCAGGAGAAAGGCTCAGCCTACCAGTACCTGATCTGAGAGGGGGACCCAGCAGGGTGCACAACATTTCAAGTGCCTCAACTTCAGCGACTGTCTATTTCTCATTTCTGTTGATGAAAGATTCCGACAAAACTCAGGGATGTAGGCTGGGTTCCGCTGTGTCAGGGAAAAGTAGTCGAGTTACGGCGACCTGCTAGCCTCAGGAGGCCCCGTGCAAATTTCAGGTTCAACAAAATAGGCATGTGTTGCACTTATGGTTCAAGTGTCCACATCAGTACTGCCTCTCTCTGCCTTTGCCAAGGGCCTCTCTCTCTCTCTCTCTCTCTCTCTCTCTCTCTCTCTCTCTCTCTCTCTCTCTCTCTCTCTCTCTCTCTCTCTCT